GCGATCCGAAAAAACTTCACATCGCCTATTGTCTCGCAAATTCTATGTTGGGGAATATAAGGTACGTCTTTCGCTATAATTTTATGAATTCGCATTCATTTGCTATTCAGTCTGCGAATGTAAAATCCGCAAGAAAACGATGGTCCCGTGGTGAAAACCCGTCTCTCCCTCTGTTAAATGAGAGGGCCGACAAAAGGCTAACCGGTTTCCGGAAATGAGTTGCATCGTCCTCGACAAGTTAAATGAACGTGCACGTGCACAATACGCAGACGCAAAAGAATAAAAGGGTTACCCAATCACCCAGATAACGTTGTGACTATAATTGTAACGTGGCGAGTAGTCTCCTTAAATTCGATTAAATTTAGCAATCAGACAGTAAAAATGGTGTTCTGAGAAAAAAGAAACGAAAAATTTGAAAACTCTCAGCTTTTGTAATTCCAGAAGTACCTTAATTAATTTGCACCCTTCGAAATGTTCGTAACGCTAAATAAATCGGGAGAACTTTGCAACAGGAATTATGGAATTGTTCGGAATAGTGAGCTTTGTAATATGGTAATATGGAATGAGCTCACTGGAGTGACTCATTAAGGTGTGCGGGTGTCTCAATTCCTAGACAATGACACTTTGATGCGCAAAGATAGAGGAAACCAGGGGTGAAAGTAACACGTATGTAACATTGCAAGTTTATTTAAAACAAATGAACGACTTCAAACATGTCCTTGCATCTTTGTATAGTGTGTGATACTGTAGAATTTACTGGCAAGAACACATTTAAATTTCGTCATTTATTGTCTTAGCTTCGTCTAGTGTTTCTTTCATCCTTGGTTTTTCCTACCGTGTTTTAGTCAGGGCATTGATTGGCTAATATTGTTTTACTATCAAAAGTAAGAAAGAGTCAGAAAGACAAATATTTATATGTCTTTGTTTTCTTCGTTGGATTGAATAGTTTTCTATAGCATAGTATAGAAAGGTTTGCTCTAAGTGGTCGATTGCGTATTTTGAAACAAGGCAAAAATTACAAAAGTGAGCAAATTTACTAGGTGTTGACTAATGGAATTATAAATATTCTAGTAAATTTACTCAATTTTGTAAATTTCACCTGATTTCAAGATAACTATGGTATAGAGTTGCTTCGAAATGAATTCCGATCGAAATTGTTCAATTATTTTTCATGTTTTCATTGTTTTCGAACAGAATTTCAATGGGGATTTATACTAAACAATTCCATAATACGTCCTGGTGTTTCTCATTGTCGTCCTCGATGGGATTTTTCGACGCAAAATATTTTTACCGTGTATATTATACGTATTTTTGTGCGGGACCGACCTCCCGTTAAGATGTCTCGTCGACTTTTTTATTCACAGAGTGTCCCCCGACTGGTCCCAAGGACCCCCTTTTTTCCCCTTGACTCATCGCGCGTTACGTCAGCGTCCCCGATTCGACCGTGCAGAGCAGTGCAAAGTCGGGTGCAGAAAAATGCAACGGGATGACTTTCCGTTTCGTGCGATCGTATATTAACACGACGCAGAAACGCGCGCGATCGATTCCACCCTCGGGTTAATCAAATAAAGGACATCACGCCAATTGGAAATTTCCGGCGAACCTTATCGCTGAAGAGAAACGTTGTAGATTATTCGATCGATTTGTGTCACCGAAAAGACAAATTTTTCTTTTTCTTTTACTACAATTATATTTATAATAATACACCCTCTAGAGTATGTATTATTACTCTAAAGAGTGAAATCTTACTCTTAAAGATTCGAAAATTAAGCCACTCCTTTTTATAAGACTGACTCCATTTTCACCTTTTAGAGTGAGATTCTACTACAAAGAATTTAGAGAGTACGTTTTGTATTCAGAAGATGCAAAAAATTGTGACAATTCGCACGTAAATGGGTTCTCTTATCTGGACTGCTTTTTCAACGTACGGTGTGATAGACGCGATTTAAACGTGTCTCGCCCAACTCATTTGCGTGACTCATCTTGTACGATGGGAAAAAGAAAAATTATAAAATCGAATCAGCTTACAGAACGTACGTGACTGGTTTTCTGTCTACACTCGGCAGTTTACGGGCGCAATATTTTCGATAGCGTCGAGTCGCTACAACGGTTCTCTTTGTGCGAGCCGCGATTGATAATTTCCTCCACCATAACGACACCATATGCATGTCGATATGTTGCGACCCGCATTTGCGATACTCTCTTCGAGGTTCTCCGTCAAGGAAAAATTACTCACCAAACGGAGGTTCACGACCGGAGTATCAATGAGTCATATCGATTTCTCGCTTCTACGAAAGACAAACTGGTTTGCGGAGATAAACGTCGTTTAATTGTCAATCTTCAGAGTCAATAATAACACAACGCGCTTTCTCCCTTTCTCTTCTTCTCTTTTCTCAACTTAGTCTTCTCTTTGTTTGCGAGTATCGGTCGTACGTTCCTTAACATCCTTCACCGAAGAAATCAATAATTCGTATCATGTTTAGATTGTACCTAATTTACATATATAATTAAAAGATCAAGCTGATAAGTAAATGATAAATGATCATTGAGGCTGGGTTGTTCCACTTTTTGATAAACTTCAGTTTACTCTTTTAATTCTCTTACTCTCTTATGCTCTCTTATTCTTTTATTCTCTTATTTATCTATTAAATAAATTATCATATCCGAAGATGGGACAACCAAATGATTTAAATATAGTTTTACTCCGCTCATAATATATATTATATAATTGACAATAATTACAATCAACTAAACTTATGAGTGTAAAGTAATGTTTGTTTATCCTTTGTCGTCGCGTTTTGAGAAGCGATCGATTGGGTCAACAGATTAATGCGACGATTAACGCAACAATGCGACGTAAATTCCATATCACGATAAAAATTGCATACTGAGAACGTTATGCGATTGGATCTTACACAACGATAGTACCGATAGCATTGCAAAAAGTCACGAATATTTTTATTAGTTTCAGCAGGAATCTGTTGTACGTGCGTGTCTAGAAAGAATAATTCAAGATTAGATTAGATTAGATGTGCTGAACTTTATTGTAAAGCTTATCAGCGTTCTGGCACCGATTAACATCATCAGCTTTATACCGATTAACCTGCAGTTGCATTTCGGCATTTTTCACGGCGGAACTACCTTTAAAACTTAATTTGCGTATAGATATATTGACATAAAGAACAATAATCTTTTTTCTATATTTCTAATTTTAATTCTAATGTACCCGTAAAGTCCATCTTAATAATCAATACGACAACATTATTAATTATAATAAAATTAATGTATCAATATTTAATTTATTTTGACTTTGCAGAAATTATATTTCTATGATTACATTTAGCTGTGTTCAGCGGAAAAAGAAATTTACAATCGTATAAGATTCTTTAATATATTTATGTATTTAGATCCAATGAGGAAGTAAGAAGAAGACTTTAATTATATTATAAAAATGTATAACAGTTGTAAAGCTACTTTTTCTTCTGAGCATAGCCATCTGTTTTTTTTTATAGATGAAATGCTAATTAAGCGAAAGATGAAGTATGATGATATGTAATTATTTTTCTGAAAATCTTTAGTGCGTTTGGAACTCGCTGCTTATAGGAAATCACTCTTGATACAAAATTTCTTTTTTATTCTTGATAAAGTTGTTGGTACAAGAAACAAGGCAAGCCGGTTATTTATGCGTGTAATTGTGCACTAGTTGCTCGACAGTAGTAGCTATTCTTACGCTGGTTTTATCCTCTCGATACATTTCGCTGTTAAGCGCCGTTTCGTTCCGCTATCAGCCGTGCGGATAACGAGAGGAGAGCGGGAGAGGGAATCGACGTCGCTGATGGGCAATGGAAGGTGGTGGTCATCGCTAGGTCATTCTTGAGCAGCAGTCGTAAGGTGGTTCCTCTCTTCTCCGGTTTCTCCTCAGTTGACATCTGCTCGAAGTGGTGAATGCGCGACTCTTCACCGCCGTGTACATATATATATATATATATATATATATATATATATCGTGTGAATCAAGACACGTCGAACTAAACATCGAAATAACATCAATTTTCTTGTGATTGTGTGTTTACATTAAACATTGTCGGCTTCGAATTGTCTTCTACCTGATTCGTGATTTTTCACAATTGGATTTTACATTGCGCGAATGATTCACGTGTCGTACAAAAATTTTATATGCGTAAAAAAAAAGAGAGTAAATTATAGGTATAAAATTTCTACAATGTGAAAGATTTATTATAAATAATCTAATTACGTTACATGGAGTGTCTATTGTTAGAAAAATAGAGAAGTGCGTTCTGCGAAATCGTAGGGAATGAAGTTCATGAGATTGAAAGATAGTACTGTCAACATTTTTCTAAATAAATATCTTGCGCGTGTATTTTTTTTATTTTATTGTTCATAGAACACAATTAGTTTTCCAAAGCTCGCTTAATTCATAGAAATAAGCTATACATTTTCTCGATGCAATGAGATATTAAAGAAAGTGACACGTGGATCGATTCAGCATTGAAAATTGCGAAAAAGTTTGCTCTTACTATTGCGTATTTCTAGAATAACCATCTCTATAGTATTTTATTATCCTTTGTTATCTTCTAATGATTACATCGATTGTTTTCACGTGTATAAAATGCTTCAAGCAATAACACAACACTCGGAAAATACGATAAAGTTTTTTAAAAGTTGCCTCTCTTAAAAATAAATTTTTTCAATTTCTATATCTAAATTTTCATCGATAAAATGATCTAATCGATTAAATAAATTCTCTTTATACGCCGATTTGGAATTACACTTTTCCAATCATCTAATCTCTTCCGCTTAAATTTGGCAATCAGACATCGTGAATCAACAAATTCATATTATCTTATCTCACAAATTTGTGTTTATTCTAATCAAGAGCAAGGTTTAAACTTGAATCGAAATCCGCGATCGTGATTAATAATACAAAAACGAAAATAATAGAATTAATTTCGTGTTCTTTTCTTATTTGGATATTGTAGGTGTGTGAGTGTCAACAGAATCGCGGAAACATGGGGTAAGTGCTCGAAAAAGTCCTCCATTAATATTTTATTATAAATCATAAAATTAATTATTTTAATTTTTTGCGAAGAATATTTCTTCGAATAAATTTGTTAAATTTAAAATATCAAATTTTATTATTGCTTATTAGAATGACACTAGCATATACCATAAAGCAGAAACGTTATGATTTTTGTTATTGTATAACGACTTATATTATCGACTATCGTATCCGAGATTTTTGCTTTCTCGGCTTTCCTTTGTGTAATTCTATCTCTTTATCTACATATATATTCGATATATATGTATATACATATATATAAAAATATTTGCGGATCGATCTAGCTATTACCATTTGCTCTATTGTCTGCAAGCGTTGAATTATGTTACCGACTCCAATATCTAATCTAAATCCTTATCGTTTGCAAGGCCGCGAGGCCGAATAGAACGACAATTTTATGCACGCTACCTGTTAAATAAATTTTTAACGTTACTTGAAAATAAATGAAAACGAAGCTTATATTAGCGCTTTAAATAAAATCTCTTTAAATTTCATGATTTTAATTTTTCGGTGACGAATAATCAGATTTTTAAATAAGTAACGTTCAATAAATATACCTACCATAGTTTTTCATCTTTCCACCATTTTTTAATTTTTATTTTGTTTTCTTATATTATTATTTTCATAAATTATAAAACTGAAAACTTTTGTTCCAATTAATTGTATTCAATTAATAGACATATAGAGTTGCAAATTGTGACACGAAAGCTTATTACATAGAGAGGCATTTAATACCTATTTCTACCAATGTAGATTAACTTTATAGTCTCGATTCAATTTGCTCTTTGTCTTTTTCTAGTTCTAAAAGTTAGGAAAAGATAAACAGTAAGATAACCCGAGATTAAAATTAATCTTAATTAAAACATTGGAAACGAGCATAAGAGTCGCTCATTCTATGGGATATTTGCAGCGCAGAGACAGTTGACACCGGGGGTGTCTTCAGAAAATCTGGTACGGAACCGGAAGTCCTCAAGCATCAAAAATTGCCTGGGATCATGGAACGAGGATTGCACGAGCGTGATAGAGTCGGCGTTCAGGACTTCGTTCTGCTGGAGGACTTTCGCAGCGAGTCCGCCTTCATCGACAATCTGCGCAAACGATTCAAGGAAGATCTCATTTACGTGAGTCAAAAACCTAATTAATTAATCTGTATTTTTAATTTATTTTTATACATTGTGTGTAATTAACGAGGAATAAATTTTAAAAGTTCAAAATTTCTTATATAAGATTTTATTTTATATTTTTGTCTTATCCTTTTACATAAAATTACACACGCTGAGAAAAATGTTCTGATTAAATCAACAAAAATATTTTAATTTAGGATTTACCACATTTACTTCGTTTTTCTTACAATTAGTGTAGACTTCTTAGCTATGATAAGAAAAATCGATGATGCACCGATCTATAATAAAAAGAACTTAGGATATCAGTAACTTGATGGGAATTATTTCTTATTTTTAATATTATAGACGTACATTGGCCAAGTACTGGTGTCAGTGAATCCTTATAAGAAACTTCCCATCTATACCCCGGAAACCATCCTTTACTATCACGGGAGAAACTTCTTCGAGGCACCTCCTCACATGTAAGCATCTATTTTGTCTCATTATACACAGTGTCCCGGAATAAATTTGTTCAATTTCTGCTAAAAAAAAAAAAAAACGTCTGTGAGAGAAAGTACAACATATCCTGGACACTCTGTATAAGATATAACGTAATACTGGTATTTCCACGATTTTTAAAATTTATTTTTGCAGTTTTGCTCTTGCAGACACTGCCTATCAATCTCTGGCTAAAGAAAATCGCGATCAATGCATCTTGATTTCAGGTAAGAATTCGCTCTTTTATTCCTTGATATCGAGTTTTGTATAATTCCTTACTGTTATTTTATACGGAGTTTCTTTACCATATTTTTACATTTTTTTCTTTTATTACGTTTAAGGCGAATCGGGATCTGGGAAAACAGAGGCATCCAAAAAGATCTTAGAATTTATTGCGGCTGCTACCGGTCATAAAAAACAAGTGGAAGAAGTGAATAATAAATTGATTGGCAGCAATCCCGTGTTGGAAGCTTTCGGTAACGCAAAAACCAATCGCAATGATAATTCATCCCGCTTCGGCAAATACATGGATGTTCAGTTCAATTTCCAGGTAAAATTTCAGTCTAATAATTTCTTTTAGAAATAGAATCAAAAGGAATTGAAGATCATGTTTGCGAAAATTAAGTTTATTACTTTGTGACAAATAATGGTCGTTGTTTTTTAGGGAGATCCAGTCGGTGGAAATATCCTGAACTATTTGTTAGAGAAGTCTCGAGTGGTCCATCAATCGGTGGGCGAACGAAATTTTCATATCTTTTATCAGCTTTTAGCAGGCGCGGATGATGATACGTTAAGAAAATTGTGCTTGAAGAGGAATCTCGATACTTTTTTCTACTTGAGTAACGGGGTGAGTCGGCCACATTTCTCATCTTTTATTTTTTAAATTAAAATCTTTTTGTTTTTTTCGTCTTCTATCTAATCTTTTTGTTAATTCGTAAATCGATCTTTCAGACGAAAGGTACAGTGGATACCATCGACGATACTAATCAGTACAAGGAAGTCGTCCGAGCGATGAAAACCATGGAAATGTCTCAGCAGGAACAGAACGATCTGTTTGCCATAGTCGCATCGGTGTTGCACATGGGTAACGTAGGTTTCTCGGAAGAGGACGGAGTGGCAACTATTCTGAAACCTGCATCTGTCGATGCCATCGCTACGGTAAATATTTTTATTATTTTTTTAGATCTGAAAGTTTTAGTTAAAATCGTTAATGTGCATATTTGGTCAAAATATCAAAGACTTAGAAAATTGCTATTAAAATTATTATAGCTTTCTATGTTTTTTTTTATAATTATTAGTGTCTTTAATTTTGTGTCTTTTTATTATTACTTTATTACGGAATTATCTGTTTTAATTATTTTTTTATGCACACAAATTTTTTCGTAAATATATTACTTGCAAATTATTGGATGTCACATTTCTTAATTGAATAGCTGCTAGGATGTGACGTGAAGCGACTGGCAAAGGCATTTACTCATCGCACCATAGATGCTCACGGTGACGTTGTGGTTTCACCCTTGAATAGGGAATTGGCTATTTATGCAAGAGACGCGCTAGCGAAGGCCGTGTACGACAGATTATTCACCTGGCTCGTGACTAGACTCAACAAATCTTTACAGCCCCAGACTAATCCTCGACGCAAAATGGTCATGGGTATCTTGGACATTTACGGCTTTGAAATCTTTCAGAAGAACAGGTAACTGTCGAATAACAATTACGTACGCTCAAATATTTTATGAAAATATTACGAATGCCATAAATAATAATTTCAGAAAATTTTTCTAGTGATTTCTAAATTTTATTTTATATTTTTATTATTTTAAATAAATTTTTTTATCTTATATTCTATATCTGAAACTGATATTTTAGTTTTTTTTTGTAGAAATAATTATCATCAGTATCTATATGTGATATCATGTTCAATTAACGATAATTTTTTCTTTTTTTACTTCGACAGTTTTGAGCAGTTCTGCATTAACTTTTGCAACGAGAAATTGCAACAGCTGTTTATCCAATTAACATTGAAGTCAGAACAGGAAGAATACCTGCGCGAAGGAATAACCTGGGAAAATATAGATTATTTCAATAATAAGATCATCTGCGACTTGATTGAAGAGAAGTATAAAGGTTGAGTTTTTATAAAATTTGACTAATCCACATTCGCAATTACATGTACATTATTAATTAAATTATTCAATACGACAGGAATAATATCGTTAATGGATGAAGAGTGTTTGCGACCTGGAGAACCGACGGATATGAGCTTCCTGGAGAAATTGAACGTAAATCTAAACAACCACCCTCACTATATTAGCCATCAGAAAGCTGACTTACAAACACAAAAAACTATGGGACGAGACGTAAGAGAATTATAATTTACTATACAACGTTAAACTAAATCATGAATAGTATATCTTGAAATACTGTAGAAAGAATAAAATTATTTATTTGATTATTTCAGTTATTTGTTTTTGTTAAATTAATTTAATTTATTCAATTATGTACACTTCAACAAAAAATAGGGAACATTTTCAAATACGCTAAAAATTGAGGATATAAGAATTAATAAGCTTGATATTTCAGGAATTTAGATTAGTACATTACGCTGGTGATGTTACGTACAATGTACGCGGATTTCTCGAAAAAAATAATGATTTACTATTTCGAGATTTACGTGAAGTTATGTCGCATACAACGAATTCCATTACAAAGGTAAGGATTTAATTTTTTCATAAGAAAGAAAATAAAAAAGAATCTAATTGTAAACTTTAAAGAGTAATATTTTTAATGTGGTTCTCAAATTTCAAAAATTAAACTTCACGAAAGTGTTTTCTTTTAAATTCTTTTGTATATACTTTTTCTGAAAATATTTTCTTTGGTTTTAGTTTTGAATATTTTTAATAATCTTTACAATTTCTTGTTGCTTACAGACTGTATTTGATGTAAAAGATTTAACCAGTAAGAAACGCCCAGAGACCGCCATAACGCAATTTAAAAATAGTTTAAATAATTTGGTTGAGATCCTTATGGGTAAAGAACCGTCCTATATTCGTTGCATCAAACCTAACGATTTTAAGATACCCAGTAAGTAGACCAGATGTAAGATAAAATTGAAATAAAGCAATATAACGTTTAATGTCATACATTTTCATATTCAAATAATTCAATTCAATAAATACATATATATAAATACATAAATTATTTAATTTTTTTGTTCATCTAGTTTATCTGTTAATAGAAGGAAAAGGAAAAGAGACATAAAAAGATTTAAAAAAATTGTTTGAGACAAAATTCATTGAAATTTTGCTTTCAGACCAATTCAACAAAAAGATTGTGCTACATCAAGTGAAATATTTGGGTCTGATGGAGAATTTGCGAGTTAGACGTGCCGGTTTTGCATATCGAAGACCGTATGAACAATTCTTGCAACGTTACAAGTGCCTCTGTTCGGAAACTTGGCCGAATTACTATGGCCTGGCAAAGGAAGGTGTGCAGACGCTTGTGTGTCATCTCGGATACGAGCGCGACGAGTATAGAATGGGAAAGTAAGACCGCGTGATTTAAACATGCTATATATAATTCATACATTTTGCAAATTCAGTACAATCAAATTTCAGAAATAATAATTGATGAATTGTTAAAAATAATTATATATTTGTTAAATTTTTTTAATTCGTTGCTATTACAGCACAAAGTTGTTCATTCGTTTTCCTAAAACATTATTCGATACGGAGGATGCGTTCCAAATGAAGAAACACGAAATAGCCGCTATTATCCAAAGCAAATGGAAAGCTATATTAATGAGGAGGAAATATTTAGAGATGCGAGAAGCAGCGATCGTTTTCCAGAAAAACATTCGTAGGTGGCTCGCGAAACGTAAAGCCGAAAAACGACAACAGGCGGTTACCACCATTCGCAGGTGTTTTTCTTTCTATATTTAAACATGTCTATGTATTTCATATTTAACGTTATTCTATATACATATACTATATATATTTTATATTTTATCGTAGATTTATTAAGTTATATATTTATATATATTTACTGTTCTAAATCGATACAGATTTATCGAAGGCTTTATCACACGAGATGGACCGCCTACGGAAATTAACAAGGCATTTATCGAATTAGCGAAATCGCAGTGGCTCATCAGACTTTCGAAGACATTACCACCGGGTGTCTTAAATAAATATTGGCCGCCATGCCCATATTCTTGCCAAAAGGTACAAAATAAGAATAAGAAATAGTTTTTAGCTATATATATCTATATAAAAATTTTTTATCTATCTAAAAGTTCTCAACAAAATAGGAAATATACCTTTCTATGTAATTATACATATAATTAAATTAATATGTGATTATAATTAGTAATATTTATATGATACAGGCGTCAGAGTATTTGCATGTAATGCACAGGCGATGGAAAGCTCGTTGTTATCGAATGGCATTAAATAAGGAAGATAAAGAAAACTTTGAGTTAAAGATTCTCGCGGAGTCTCTATTCAAGAATAAGAAAAAGTCTTATGCAAAAAGTGTAGGTCCGAAATTTATAACCGATCGTCTTGGAGAGGAGTACAAAGCACTGCGACAGAGCTTTATTAACAACATTTTAACTTCTGGAGAAAACATAAAGGTAAAAATAAATCACTAAAAAAATATTACAACAATCGTTTCTCTTTCCGTATTATGTATATTTACAATGATAAAATAGAAATATAAATTAAAATTCATACTTTTAGTACGCCACTCCCGTCATTAAATACGATCGACATGGGTATAAGCCACGCGAGAGAGTGCTTATTTTAACAGAGAATGCCGTATACATTCTCGACACACTTAAAACCTTCAAGCTCAAGCATCGTCTACCTTACAAGGCTATCGAGGAGTTGGTTGTGACTAGGGAATCAGATAATTTACTCATCGTTAGGATACCACCTGAATTGAAAAAGGATAAGGTTTTTATAACTCAAATTCCAAATTTTTATATTTTTATTATAACTCTAAATAAAGCGAATTATTTTAAGTTAATAGTAATATGATATAAATATATAAATATTTCAATTAATCATTTAATAAGAAAATTAATTTAATATTTAGCAACTATGACTGAAATAGGCTAAATTAAACATAAAGAGTATAATTTAATTAAGAGAGTTAGTAATTAGGGAATTATTACAATTAATAAACAGATAATAAATATAACAGATATTTCCACGCACTACTGTTTTATAGGGTGACTTGATCTTAGAAGTTCCGCATTTAATAGAAGCATTGACGAAAGCGATTGATATTACTAACAATCCGAATATTCTCAAGATCGTCAATACCGAATCGTAAGTACTCTTCAGATTTTTATGTACTTTTATTTTATTTATTTCTTTACATTTAGTAATATATGTATAATGCAATTTGTTTCTCCTTTTATAATTTTACTAATATTTGCAATATCATGTTCTAGTGTGTCCCATAAACTAGTCAGTGGTAAGGAAGGAGTCATCGAAGTTAGGACTGGTGCTACTCCCGCAATTAGTAAAAATAGACAGAGCGGGCATTTATTAGTAGTAAAGATTCACAATAATTCTAATATTTTCGAATAATTGTCTTTCCCTCGCACTTGTTTTAAACTATTAAATTTCAGGTTGCTTCCCCGTAAAATTATGCCAAAAAAGAGAATTTTACGAAACTGAAAGAATCGGTGCTATGATGCCTGAAGCAGCCTTAACACAATGTGATCTAGAAAATATACAACAGAACATCGAGAAGAGATAATATATGTGACACTTTAATACATTTTTAAATTACTCTGGCAATGTTGAACGAAAAGGTGATAAAATGACAATACATAGGTCTTTCATTCCAACGTACAGATTACGTCAAAATCTTGTTTCAAATATGAAAGACACAGAATGCCATAGGGCCTCCTGTATAATATTTCCTTGTAAATTAGGTAATATTACTAACAATATTTATTTTGATAGAAAAATAAAGATGAAATCGATCAGATAGGCGAATTCACTCGTCAATAATTTATAAACATTATTTAAATATAAATTAAGTTTCAGTTGTGTGAGTGCAATAAACAGAAAAAAATTTACATCTCACTTGATCCATATCCCTTTTCTAATAGATAATCTCAAACAGAACAACACTGCTTGATTAAGAAAAAAAAAATACATATATATACACAATACATTATTATTATATACAAATATTATAATAATAATTAACATATCATTGTTTTTTCGAATTAGAAGGTTTCTTTTTTGCGAGAGTTTTCTTTCCATCTAAAGCTTTCTCTCGTAACTCATCTTCCATTACAGTATTCACAGTTTTTGAGATCATCTTCTTCAATTTCTGTGTTTCTTGTAACTTCGCTTTCTTAGGTTGAACAGGGGCATCTTTGAGAAAATAACAATTCATATATTATTAATCTCAATATTAGAATATTGTTCCTTTACTTCAAAATGACACGACTCAAAAAATTAATCTTTTCATAAATGGAAAAAATTTAATAAAAAATTATTGATCATCTCTCAAATAAAAACATAAGTGCAATTTAGTAGACAAATTGTAAAATCAAATTAGTTTACTTTGGATGATTAATAGAATTGTTACTACTTATTCATGATAATAATTAAAAAATCATATTTGAGTCATGTTATTTTTGAAGTAAGGGGATGATATCATTATTATGTTCTATTCAGAAAAGCTTGTCATTATCACTTACTTCCACGTCTTTGGATAGCAGGGCCCTTTTTGCCTTTGCCTTTATTGGCTTTCGTCTTTACTGATGTCGGCAGTTTCGTCTTAACTTTAAGCTTTCCCTGTGCCATTTTGTATAGCTTATCACTTATATGTACAAGTTCAAATTTGTAGATTTAACAAGTATAATATGTTGTTCACACGCTGTAAAAACAAGAATATAAACACATTAAATAAGAGCAGAGAGAAAAAGCTTCTCTAATGTACTAAATTAAATAATTAACATATTAACATTACAATTATAACGTTATGCATAACAAAAGTATAATACCAATTTATAATGTAATTTGTTTATACACAAGTTTATATGAGACTAATCGTACATTTTTTCATAATAGAAGAAACTTACATGGGTTTTTAAAGTTTTTCTCAGGTAAAAGGAGTTTAAAACACCTTCAATCCTTCCTTTTAATTTACTAATTTCACTAATTGCGCGTTTATGCACATAGGTTATGTACATCACTTAAGGCTGTTTTACAATTTACATAAGAAGCTACCTGTAATCGTACATGTAAATACCCAATGAGTATACATCATCACTGATCATCACGTGCAAAAAAGCAAATCTTTCATTGGATATTGTTCATTGTAAGTTGACATATCGTCAACTAAAATCATCACAAAGCGGCGAAGAACAGCGGGAGGAAAGCATAAATTGGCACAAAATGGAAGGATTGCGGACACGAAAAATTTATAAAAGTTTAGACACAAAAATGTTAGACAAAAAAAACATGCGCGTAACGATATCATAAAAATATACAGGCACTTTATTCTTTCACTTGTCTTTACTATTGTATATGAAGTAAAAACAATCCTTTTAAAATTATAATGAAGAAAAATGTCTTTCTCTTTGTCCGTTAATACATATCGTTACTTATTTTGTCGATTAGTATCATTAATTGTTAATATTATCATTATTTCTCAACGCGCGGCGGAGTACAGAAAAATTCACAAAAATGAATACTAATTAAATGCAAAAGTATATATACTTTTCTATCGCTGTGTAATGGTATCTTTTAAGGTATTTTTAAGATACTTTTTTATGTCGACGTTAGTTTTTACCGTTAAAACAATAATTACGTGATTAAAATCACCGTTTAATATTTGTTCAATTTTCACCATTTTCGCCTATTTTAATAGCGTCTACAAAGAAACTGCACATAAAACGAGCGAGCAGTTACGTCGAACGTGGTATAGCGACAGCGGCGGCGGCGTCGGCACACTAGAGAGGTGGTGGAGGTGGGCCGTACAGCGGGCGACGGGGATCAGAACGTGACCTACGCAGGAGATGTCGACAAGATGACAGCGACCGTATGACGACGCTGGTTACGCCGTTGTCTGCCCGACACGACAGAGTCTCGAGGATACGTGGCTCCGCCCCAGGAAGCGGCAGCTACGGTGAGTGTGGCGGACGAAGAGAGAAAGAGAGAGGAAGATAGAGCGAGAAACTTGACGTTATCGTCGTTGTGTCGTCGTCGTCGTCGTCGTCGTCGGCGACGGTAGTGGTGGTGGTGGTGGTGCCGCGCCCCCGTGCGATGTACACGACGGCGCGGTGAGGAGTGGACGGTGGGATCCTGAGGAGGACTCGCCGACGAGGAGTGCCGTCGACCCCACGCGCGTCCGCGTCCGGAGGCATGAGCGTGTTTGGGGACTTCCAGCGTGTCTGGGTGCAGCGGTTCCCGGACAGCGCCTTGCCGGCCGCCTGGGAAGAGGATGTCAGAGCGAACCTGGTCAGACATAAGCAGAAGGTGAGTCCGAACACGATGATTCTCTCCTTGGGACCGTAGTGCGGAGACGTATTGCGTCGACGATTGATCGCTAATTTTTATTGACGAGTCTTGTGCAAGGACGGCAGGTGTGTTTTGACGAATAATTATGGAGTGAGAGAATAAGGATGCATGAAATAAGGGTGAAACCTGCCGTCGTGGCTGGCAATAGTGTCGCAATATATTCGCCGAGCGTTTATTAGTCACGTGTGAGCGATCTGTGCACGTCTGTATATGTGTGCGCAAAAGAGGTTTTATTTCGTTTAATTGACATCCTGGAGGGGTCCGGTGATTCATCACGTAGACCAGATTGACCGAGTTTTTATTTTACCGGTCTTTAATCAAGTTCCTGGAAGAATTAGAAATGAATTTTTTTAAGTAAAAATACAGGTGATTATTATATAGAGTCTGGGATTGAGGATGCAACCTTGCGTAACGACTGGGTTGTGACTGTAGCGAAGTTTTGCAATGTTTACCAAGTATTTATTAGTCAGAACAGAATTTATGTGTGTGTACATAATTCAAGTAGATAGTGAAGAATTCTATGAAAAAAACATTTCATACGCTGATATGAATTAAGGAAGAAGTATAACAAGGAGAATTTAATCTCTCCGCTTTAAAAACTTAGTCATGTATAATTCAATTAACACCGTGTTCACATGACTTGATGACTCATCGAATTAATTGTCTGAAACCTGTCAATGACAGAGCACTTGTTACATTATGAGTACCAATGTATTATCGTTTCTCTTAATATTTAAAATGAAATCGTAAACGAATAAGTGAAAGAAGAAAGAATAGTAAACATTGAGCTTCCTGTAGGCAACTGCCGCTTGTGAATCATTATGGAGTTATCTCTGTAGTGTTATCAAAACACCGAAAAGAAGTCGATTATTATTATTACATTAGATTATCCTAAAAGTTCATAGTATTACATATTACCGATTTTTGTTTAAATTAAAAAGACAGTGTGGATTAATTAAAAAAGTAGCAGGAAGTTATTATATAATTACATAACAATTTTTTTTAATATTACAGTGTTAAAAGTGTAATAAAATATTTTTTTATAAAAAATAATTTTAAAATATAAAATAAAGAAATTAAAAACACACGAGATTTATTTTCTATAAAATTATTGAAATCTTTCGAATATATCAAAGTGATATTTTTTCTGTATAGGTGACAGCTTTGAGAGAAGAGCTCGAAAAAGAAGAGTTTTATGTAGAATATTTAGAGAGATTGCTGGCTGACGTCGAGCGACACAAACAGCTGGCTAACAATACCAGCGCGAATACGAATACGTCTGAGATTAAACAGGAAGCGGCGACGGAAACGCAGTCTCAACAGGATTCTCAAGTATCGGAGAATAGTTTGGCAGACTCTCCGAATTCGCCGAATTCTCAGAACGTCGGACCATCCGCTCCTACCTTGACGGAACGGGAAGACATCAGCAAATTTCAAGACAAGTGCGTGTCCGAACTAAGCTCGACTCTTAGCACAGCTGGCAAGCGACCCAAGAGCGAAATACCAAGGAGTCCCGATAAAGTGCCTGAACTTAGAAGAAACAGTGATCCAGATGTGCCAAGTAATTATGTTACAGTGATTGAAGTCACCGGAAGTTCGAAGAAAGATAAAAATGAGGAATCTCTCAAGGAGGAGGACGAGAAAGGTATCTTCTCTTATATAATATATAAATCGTTTTTATTGACCTCTTTTGAGTTATAGTTACATAATCTATATGGTATATAATAAAAAATAATAAAAAGGAAGAAATTTCAAAAATAAATTTTAATCTTATTATCTTATTCAATTTGAAGTTAATAATTCGATTTGTTTTTAAAGTTTTATATAAATCAATTGTCATAAATTTTATTATATTAATTTTACGTACATTATAAAATATTTTATGATACATATAAAATAAAAAAGATAATGATTATTACTTGTTCGCTAAATAGACTTAGAAAAGGCTATCAATGAAGATGGCGAAGATGGCGATGCAGAGGCATCGGAAGAAGAGCCTTATTACGATTCAGTAGCCTTGGACCAAACTGGGGAATATGTTTACATTGACGCGCGCGTTCCCACTGTCAACAGTAACAATGGCAATAGCAAGGCGGCAACTCGAAGACCACCCTCGCTGCCAGATTCGCCGGGCAATCAGAGTAATTATGTCAACATCGATTATTTTATACAGTAAGTCGTTTGTTATCTCTTGTTTTATTTTGACTTATTAGACCCATTAGAGTACGAGCGTCAATCAAGCTTAATTATGTTTTTTTTTTGTTAATATTAATATTTACATTTATTATTATTACAGTTAATATTAACATTTATTGGTTGAATTTACGCGAGTACTCCCGGGTTAAGATGTAGAGTATATATAATTGTATACATTACTTTCAGACATAGAGCAGCGATGGACAGCGAAGATGAAGAGGGTGCTAGTCCGGCGCCTCCGATCTTGTTGCGAGCTCTCAGCACGGACAATGAAACCGGCAGCAGCGACGCCGAACCGCTAAGTTTGAGCGAGGGTAGCTTGGAATCACCGACCCCGACGACGCCGCGCAGACAAGAAAAGAGCAAGGAGCGCGAGGACGACAGGACGTCGATGGTCAAGTGTATCGTAAACTCGGTAGTGGAGAGCGAGGCTGTATATGTGGAATGCTTAACTGTGATGTTACAAGTATGTAACTTGACATTCTAAATTCTTGTTAAGAATTCATTCACAATATTTCTCTGCCTTTGCAGTATATGAAAGCTATTAGAGCAACTTTAACGACATCTCAACCGGTCATTTCGGAAGAGGAGTTTGGCACGATGTTCTACAAGATTCCGGAACTGCATGCTCTGCATCAGACGTTTCTGGATGGCCTTCGAAAGAAGACGGAAAAGTGGGACAGTAAGACTACTATAGGAGAACAATTTAAGGTATACATAATTAAAGTAAATAAGACGAGTAAAACTGTGGAAAATCATAACGTGTTACACTCATTGATTTCAGATTATGGCCAGTAATATAGGATTATATGGTGCGTTTTTACACAATTATGCTCGCGCGACCGATACTGTGCGACGATGCTCTGCTCATTCCACTCAATTTGGAGAGATTACTAGAGATATAAGACTCAGAGGTTTTCCAAAGGGTCCGGGTTTGTCTCTAGAAGATTTGTTACACAAACCAGTTGCTCGAGTACAAAAAAACGCTTTAGTTTTACATGTAAGTAACTCGTCATACACATGTCTACAGCATATATAACAATGTACATTGACAGACAAATAAAGTAGATCACTAAATTTTAGCAAATATTTTTAATATTTTTGAATAACGTATTGAGATGTTTAAAAAAGCATTTTACAGCTTAAAATCTCTACTTTTCAGATCGATATTTAAAACAACGGTCTTACTGATATTTCGTGAAATTATTACTATTTAAAAATATTAAAAATATTTAATAAAATTTAATGACATTTTTTTGCCTGTGAGTATATGTAGTAAACTGTATGATTTTTATGACCGATAAAATTGTGATAGATTACTACGAATTTCAGATCTGGAAATATATTTCATTACATTACAATCTCTTTATCTTATCTTGAATGTCGTAACGATAACTTTTTTGTTTAGGATCTTCTCAAACATACACCAGTCAACCATGCGGATCATGCACCTCTGTCAGAAGCTCTTGCTATGACCAGAAACTTTCTAGATGAGTTTAATATTATTCAGACGAAATCCATGTTTCCGGTACGATTCGTGTAAATTATCTTACACATTATATTTTATTTTACACAACATTATATAATTGTGATTTGTACTATATCCGATGTTTCTTTTTTTTACTTATACAGAGTCACGATAGAGCCCAACGAAGATTGGTAAAAAATTCATTTGTAGTCGAGCTTTCAGACGGTCACAGAAAATTAAGACACCTCTTTCTTTTTAATGATGTGATCGCCTGTGCGAAGTATAAAGCCTCTGGCAGAGATAAATTCACATTTGAATTAAAATGGTATGTGCCGGTAGCGGAAGCTGCTGTTACGGAAGACGGTATAGAGCCTCGCGAAGCTAGCCCTGCTAATGTGGTAGCTTTAAGGTAAGTATATACCGTGTTATCTATCATCAATGATGAAGAGCAGTACTTTATCAATTGCATTATAAAAAAAATACTCTATCAGATTAGTCATCAATGTTAATTTTAAAATGTACATTATAAAAAAAACAATCAGTTATCAAAATAGATAATCCTTAGTCACACTAAAATAAACGGTAATACACTGATAAGTACAATAATAAATTATATTAATAAAAAAATATCTAATTAAATTATAAATAATTTCAAAATTATATTGGAACAGGTCGCAAGCATGTACAGTACGCGATCAAATTTTATGGGAAGAACGAAACGATGAGAAACGAATCCGATTGGGCGGCAGAGGTTCGGAGAAAAATCGCAAAAAACTCGCTGAACTTGAGGCTCAGCTGGTGTTAGCCTCGCCAAACTTAGTTCTACGCGTGGCGCATAAAAGTCAGCAGAATCGAGTACAAAATTCTTACACTTTCTTCCTGTCTAGCGAATTTGAGCGTTCTCAATGGGTAGAGGCGGTGGAGGCATTACAACAGGTCATTTAATCTCTTATTAAGATTATACAACTAATTAATGATATAATTAAGGACACGATGTTTGCTATGTATTTGATTGAAAAACTTATATTACGGATATTTTATAGGGTGGACAACCTCCAGGGCAGCTGCCATTGTCAATGTACGAACTGCAAGCTTGGGTCACTGCCTGTCGAACGTATTTACAGACTGATATGGGTAGCTACCTTCTGAGATCAGGACGCGATGAGAGTTTATTGCTGGGTGATCTTCATTTAACACTGCTCGGTTTGACTCCGCCAGGCTTAGACAGAGTGGGTGATCTCTATATCATTGTGGAAGTTGACAGTTATGGACACTACTTCAAAAGAGCGCGAAGTCGCATCGCTAGAGGTCAAGCTCCGATTTGGGGTAAGAAATCTTCTATTTTATAAATTCTGATATTAATTTATATTTTATAATATCTATTTGACATCAATTTATATCTTATTAAACATAAGTAAAATTATGTGTGCTTAAAATTAACTTTTTTAATAGTATGATAATATATTAAACTTTTCTGCTTTAATTAAAATTCTCTCTTTTTGGCATACAGGCGAGACTTTTGTAGTAGAGTTGGAGGGAAGCCAGAACGTTAGGATTCTATTGTATGAAGAATGCGGTACACGCTCGGTATTGCGAGGCAAGTGCATTCAGCGGTTGAGTAGATCTTGGCTCCAATCTGATCAGGTGGAGAGGTCGCTAAACTTGGGACCTGCGACATTGGACGTGGCGTTACGTTTTGTTCCCAGCGAGGTCACTCTGAGGCGAGTGCCATCAGCCAAGCCACAGGGCTTATTTGGAGCCAAAATCCAACAAGTTTGCAAGTACGTGCGATTTCATTCAAATCAGAACAGTTTAAAAATTAAAATGTCGATTGACTTTTTTCTAATTGAATTTTTAGTTAGCAGAAATTGACTAAATATTCAAATAGTAAAAAATTCATAATTGAAATGAACAGAAAGTTTTTATTTCTTTTTAAGCGGACTTTCTCTGAATCTCTTGATTTATTTATGAAATATTTTAACACATTTTTTTACTAAACTTGTTAATAATTATTATACTTTCAATTTTACAGACGAGAGAAACGCGACGTACCTTTTATAATAACGGCATGCGTACGAGAAGTGGAAAGACGTGGTGTTGGCGAGGTAGGTCTGTATCGTGTTTCTGGCTCAGCGTCTGATGTTGCAAGGCTACGCAAGTCGTTCGAAAGCAATTCGTACGAAGCGGAGCAGCTACTTAAAGAGGTACGTTTGTATTTCTAGTATCTATAGTTAGGTATTCAGAATGGTCTTTTATTGTTGATATTTTTGTATGCCAATGTGTATATAGGTGGACGTGCACTCGGTAACGGGAGTATTAAAACTGTATCTGCGTGAAATGCCAGAGGCGCTGTTCACCGATGCTCTTTATCCGGCATTCCTGGAGGCCTTTCAAACGGGCGATTTATCACGGGGTGCCGCATTGCGACGCGTTTATGAGGGCTTACCTGCTGTCAACAAAGCGGTGATCGACTTTTTGTTGGCGCACTTGGCACGTGTGAACAAACACGAGACACAGAACAAAATGTCACTGCATAACCTGGCTACAGTGTTCGGGCCCACATTACTGCGTCCTGGCACCAGTAATTCACGCAGCGACGCTAAAAGCCGCGATCCTCTCGCTGCCGGCACCGTCGACGTGATGGCGCAAGCTGGCATTCTTTACTGCTTCTTGCAGTTACACTTGCAACAACAGAACAATCAATCTCTCTAGTCGACAAAGTCCTCTCATTCTGAACACGATTAACGTTACCGTTCGATTTTAAACGGAAACGCGACCACTTTCTTCCTGATGAAGCAAACGCCGAAAAGACGATGTATGATGGTGTCTGAAGAACAACCTGGTAATTTATCGGTATTGTTATACTTAATCTTACAATCAATTTATTGAATTAAAAAAATGTTTTTATTTTTATTGTATATATACATATAAATACTATTACATATTATGGCTCATGCTATGTATGTATAGTATTTATATATACGTAACGAACAATTATATTGTCAAATAAGGTTTATAATGTTCTACGTGAATGAAGTTAAAAATTTTCCATTTGTGTTAAAACTTTTTCTACTTGTATTAGAGATGCAATATATTTTCTTTAACGAATGTCAACGGAGTTACTGAATTTTTATTTTCATTTTTTTATTAATACAATTAATTAAATTAAAATAATCAATTTCCGTCCTTCAAACATCTGTCAAAGTCTTTTGTATTGTGCATTAGCACAATAATCTATTCGCATTGTTGGTCTCTTTTATAGACATTAGCATGACGTATTTTTTTTCGTGATCCTGAGATAAAGCCTGGAAACGTATTAAAGCGATAGAGTGGCTTTGATGAAACCCTCCACACGAGGATGAAACTCCTATACTCCATACGCGTGCAAAGTAATGTAGCCGAGCTGCTCTTATAGAACGTATATAAAGCGTAATATTAATAATAATATATATATATATATATATACATATATCTTTTTACTTTTGAGGTTTATAATATATTTTCTACTTCATATTGTCTGAGCGTGACAAGGTCGTTCGCGCGCAATCAAATTGATGATCTTTCCTGAGATGAGATTTTCGAGATGAAGACGAGCGTGTAATGGTGCAGAAATTTCAGGTGAGAAATTGGCCAAAGAAGGGATTAGATAAGTCAAAGCAAATTGATAAAAATGTTATATTACATTTGTATATTAAAGATATCCTCCGAAAATTTGTAAAAAAAAACGGAAGAAATTCGTTAATGAGTGAGAGTTTTTTAAAGAAGAGTAAAAATAATAAATTTTGTATAAAGTTCGACATTGAAGTTTTTTAAAGCCTGAAATTTGTGTACTGGATATGCAATTTGGTGCATTTGTGCTCTAGAAAATAAGTACTTTTTCACGTGACGTGTGTTCCTAACAGAGAATCTAAATTTTTTTATATGAACCCTTTTGTATATCCGTTGCAGGAAGCAACCTATCGCCCTAAGTAATACGGATCATATTCTTGTGTACTCATATTATATAATAACATACATTTCGCAAAACATTCAGGAGAATGAGAAAGATAGAGAAGGGGGGAAAGAGAAAGAGAGAATGGTTTGTTTTTTCTTGAAGATTCTGCGGAATTCAGGGAACGGGGTTCCTCATAATATGCAAAATTTGTTATACATGTTTAATGTAATTATCGTCCATTCCATTTGCTCGAGTTCTTTACGAAGAATCGAATTCAACAGATCGAATCTTTGTACAAAGAAGCTTAGAGTTTTGGCTCAAAAGACATACGACTGCAAAAAAAGCCCTCCTTATCTCATTAAAGAGATATTTTTCGACAGTAATTTTAATTAATGTGAATCCCTCTTTATATTACCGTCTAAATGCAGCTTAATAGACGCCAAAGAGAAAGTTACGTTTCCACGTATATAGAGTGTCCCGAAAATCCCGTAATTTATAAGAAAAATACAATTTTTTATGGGAAAAGTTAAAAGTACAGAATATAAACAAATTAATAAATTAAAAAATTTTTTTTTCTTGATTCTTGAAATGATAATCATCTCGGAGAGAATGTTTGCGAGAAAAAGATTTATACATCTACATATATCTTGAAACTTTTCGTTTTTTTTTTTACAAAGTACTGCCAACTAATGCTTCAAGGTTTTTGGAACGCTCTATATGTAATAGAAGAATATATTATAGTTGATAACGAGAAACAAAACACAAACACGCGAGTTTGGCGGAACTACAATAATGGAACTCAATAGAGTGACTTTATGTATTATGCCATACCGTCTACAAAGTTTGCAAATTACACAAAAGTGAAAGAAAACGAAGAAAAGAACCAAGTCTGACGAGAGTGTTAGATAAAAATGAAGACATATAAGAAGTATTAAATTGTTTATGCTCGAACAAAGGCAACTATTGTATCTCGTGCGTATGAAGGCAACCGCGTGTGTGTTTGTGCTTGTTTGTATGCGTGTATTATCCCTCCCTTTCACCGTGTATGTATTATACCGTAAAAAGAAATACCGCATATACTAAGATTAATTTTGATATCGTTGTTTTTTAAGGAACGTTCGCCTTTTTTTGTACATTGATAAGAAGTGTAAAAAACGTTTCATCGACTATTATTTGTGTTATTATTAATATTATTACTCTACATATATAGTATATATATATGAAACAATTATATCGTCGCAACTATTTGTTGATTTGATCAAGCTAGCTTGTTCGCGCAGCGAAATGCGTACTGTACTGCCAAAAAGTGAACAAACACTTAAAGTGGATAAATATACTGAAGGTTTATAAACTTTTATATCGATTGATTCTTTGAAATTTTTTTTACATCTTGCCTTGATGGGATGCCGTCGATCAAGTTTCAATTTCACGGAATCCTGTTATAATCCTCTAACAAATATTTTATCATATCAAAGGAGGCATTACCAAGTTTAGGAGTAAACATCACGATTTTGGAAAAGATTTAGAAGATGCAACAGGTAAAGCTAAATTTGATATACTGGATTAATATTGTAATTACTAGTTTGTTTCATTAAAATATTCACATAACGGAATGGTAGAATAACTCAAATTTTTAACTTAGTCGTTATTCACATCTGAACCGAGATCTCTTGTTGAATTGAAGTCCCCAGGCAATCTCTGGCTGGCGGCGACAAAGGTAATCTGACGGGTGTTGCCGCAATATTATCCCACAGGCCAGGTAATCGGGAACCATCGGAGCTGTTACATTGCATCCCTGATAAATCAGTTAAAAGTTGATCAGAAGAGTAAGGAAGGAGAAAGAGTTCTACAAATAAAGGGATTGAAGCTTATTGTAAAAAATACAGATGTATAAAAGAATACACACATCGATAAAAAAAAAAGTTAAAAATACTTCTTTTTACGTTGTTATATTGAATTAAAATTTAAAACAAAATCGTCAAAAATTGCTAGAATAAAAAGATTGATGTAGTTGTGAATCAAAATAAGTAAAATCTAAAGATACGCGTGATTTTTAACTATTGATTGAACCTAGAGGAGCAGCTTCGTAGAGATCGTGAAGAGCTTCCACGCGGACCTTGGTCCACTCGATGCTCTTATAATTTGCCGAGATGCCCTTTTCCATACTGGTCCCTTGACTTTCCCATTCTCGCATATAACGGAAATACGTTCTTAGTGCGTCGTCGCTTATGGCACTCTTGCATACCTAATTGTAACATGGAATTTCATGTGGCAATTATACAAATATTTTGTTCTCATTAATCCATGCGAACGAATAAATTTACTCACTTTAATATTTCTTTATTAATTTCTTTTTATTAATAAATTTAGTTTACCTCTAATTGCGCGTTGGGATAATAATGAATATAATTAACGCACATCTCATCGGATATAGCAAAACCGCCGAGAGTCACGTTATCTCTTTTCATAGTGTTGTAAGTGCATGTAGTGATTAGAGAATCCCCCTGTAAATGATTTCATTTTTAATAAGATTCTCAGCTCTTTTTTTGTTATCATTATCTTTAACGTTTGATATTTGATAATAATGAACTATTTAATATATTCATTCTTATTTATTATCTGTTTTATTTCTGTATTTGTTTACTTTAGCTAATTTTCTTACAGGTAAGATAGCCACCGGTTTTGGCAACAATCTGATTTCTTGAAAATGTGTGGAGTAATGGTTGTCATAGTTCATTGGTAGCAATTCTTCACCGTTCCTTATATGACGAGTGATGACTTTGGTACCCGTTAAATGAGTGTGCAGTTGAGAGCCGAAAACGCGAATGCCACTTTGGGGCAATCCGATTCCGGTGCACTCTGTTATACAGTGACCAGATAGTATAAAGGCTTCCTAAATAACATTTAATTTTAATAAATTTCCTACTAAAACTCTTATTTCTTTTAAGAAGAGATTTACAAAATTATAGACATAAATTGGAGATAAATAAATGAATTTTAGATAAATTTAATTGGATTAAGACTTTGTGTATTATGAAAAATAAAAAGTATACATCTATTTAAGTAATTTTTACGTATTTGTATAAATGTAAAATTGTAATACGAACTTTATTGTGTAGATTTAACTATTTTATTACATGCGCGCATCAGCATAAGTTTTCAAAAATTATCGATCAGTTTTTTCACCTGTTGGGGAGGTATGGCCATCTTATCGGTGTACTCAAGACCAAGCTCAATAACACCGGCATCGTACTTTCTGAGTGTTTTAGTAAGAATAAATCGAATTCCGGAAGAGTCGATAACACCTTGGTGCAACTCCGGATTATTGTAATGTACCTCCAACATGACATGTGGATTGAAATCAGCTCCGCCGATGGCTAGACCGGCTTCTTCCGGATATACAAACGCGTCAGCACCCATCGCCCATGCTGCCAATACCTTCTTGCAAATCTAAATGATTTAAAATGAGCATCATTGACTTTTAAACTTTTACTTTAGACGTTACGATCGAACACATATGAGCTATTTTCAAAGAATTTAATGTCTTTTTATTGAAAATTATCAAATATTGTTAATTTTCAAATTGATTTTAATAACAAAAGATGTGCTCGAAGTAGTACTTTTAAATTCTTAATTTAACAATGTGAAATACGTATAAAAAAATGTTCTAATTGTTAATAATAATATCTGCGCAGGTTCACGAGAAGACAATCACCTGTGTCTTTTCAGGTCTGTCTGCTCCATCACAAGGCCCATCGTACATGGGTACTTCTATATCCACAGATCCGGCGCAATGAAAGATTTCCATGTGGTGTACAAGATGTTCGTTACCCGCTTGAATAGCGGGACCAAATTGTAGAATATGATGCCTACGGATAAATATTTCTTTATTGTATAATCTATATCTTTATATGTTTATATTTATTAATAAGTTTTTAGAATAAAAGATCTAATTTGGTAAAAATATTAATAAAAGGTCTAGATGGATTGAATTAGTGATGGAAGATATATCAATATGGACATCTCATCATTTATTGCATATATCTAATACGCACTTCTGTCTTAGTACTGACGGTAACTTATGCACACGACACCAATAAGTGGTCTCCTTCTTCGGCACTTGAACCCGATGAGCGAGTAACTCGAGCTGCCAGGCATTCGCGGGGAACTTGGGCTTTTTATGAGATATCCTGTACAGTTCCGTACGAGACATACCCGATGCTTTCGCATCTGATATCTCGAGACCGGCCAAAGATGATAGTGGTCCACGACCGCGAAGCCACACTAAGTGCGTTGTGCCTCTCTAGGAACAAATATTTTATTCCAAACAATAGAACAATATAGGGCTTATGAGAATAATTAACCGTTATAGTTGATGCGCATAAATTAAAATTCACAATAGTATTATAAACTTAAAATACAGATTACAAATAAAAATCCGTCGAACACGATTCTTTTAGACGTTTTTTTAAAGTTTCGCAAGTCTTTCTAATCACGTATATAAATATTACGTAAATTCTACTCACTTCAATGATATAATCATGCTCATCGCAAGTGTCGAATTTGCGGGAGAATGTGAATTTTGTGATATTACCGCGTCTTCTCCACGCGAAACTATCGCAGTCTTGCTGGGTATCCAGATGTAATTTTCCGTCGACATCCGCCCACGAATCCTACCGATTGTTAACAAAGATAAAACCAATTTTTCATATATAATTTGATTTATAATTTTTCACATCACCGAACTTTACTTGAAAGTGAACTTGTTGATGCCAATCAGACCATAAGACGCAGTAATCAGCTGGTTTCAATTCTCCATAGTCGGAAAATCCGATTGCAAACCAGCTGCTATCGTTACCGATAAAATGAACTTCTGCGATCACCAGCTTGTTCATTAAATCCACTCTGAAAAGTAACGACAAACTGAGCAAAAATTTCCAATAATTATAACAATATAAACAAAAAAAAGAAAAATTTAGAGTGTTTCGTTGCTATTGCATTAAAATATTAGGAAAACCGCATTACAACAATAAATAGCTGGAGCTTTTGTCAATTTGGAAACAATTCTACCAATAAAAATTTCTAGGCTTAATTGTCTCTACATTAGGAGTACGAATCGATCACATATTATGATCGTGTATAGTTTTTCAGGTATAAATTAGCTCTTGATTTTTCTCGATATAAAACTTGTAATGATCACCCGTCAATTTACACGTGTAGTACTGTCGCCGATTTTATAATCGTATCTGTATAGGTTGAAGTTACAATTAGAATAAAGATGACAAGGAGAGAAGATAATATATAATTTTATGTAGATTATAAATTATGATGGCACTACTTATTACAGTAAAAAATCGATTTAACTCGCAATAATTTCATTAATATTAACAGTAAAGAACTGAAATCATAACATAATACTAATATACCATAAAGGCATGTAACAAAGTAATTGACGGAAAATTATCTCCACTCCTTCTATTTTTTCTAACTTCTGCGGCGTATTTCCTGACGCGGCGTATATACCGGGTTTACCCTATACTTGTAAAATAATTAAAATTATATTTCTTACAGACAATTATAATGGCAAATGAGATTTTGTTTAAAATCGTACCTCCAATGGAAAGTCACCTCCGAACCCAATGGAATCGTATGCACTGCGTTTCTAGCCATATTTTCATCGATCAAAGGATCGCGTCGAGACCAGCCCGAATGGATACTCGCGAGAGCGATTAATAGAAATAACATCATCGTTAACGTAATTAAATCCTCTTTAAATCTCCCTACGAAGCGATTTAGCGAGTAAACTCGCTGAACTTCAGCTTCAATTTGGATTTTTGTTGACTCGGATATTATGTCGAATTTATCCCGATTTCTTAAATACCGTTTATAATATTTATAGAGTTGTACTGCGGAGTCCACAAAGGATGAATGTGCACTGAGAATCCTTCCTGCGAACTTTCGTATCTCGCAGGATTCCGCGCTTGCGGAATGACGCAGGATGCGCAAGCTCAAGGAGAATGGTTCGCTTGATCAGACAATTTTCGCATTTTATCGAGACCGTTTATAATCATTATGTTTCTTAATTCATTCAAAAAATATAAGTAAATATTATACCTTTTGTAATCCAAAAATTTTATTTATTACACTTTTTTTATTACATTTTATTCTGTTTACGTTATACGCCTCGTATATTATACATGTATTTTTATTTTATACATATGTTCTGTAAAAAATTAAAACAATTTATAATTTGTTTAATATAAATTACTTTTTTATAGTTGTTACAATACAACAGAGAAGAACATACAAAATTTTTACGCTTTTTTAAAATAAATTAGTTGTGTTGAATTATAGATTGTAATTATGAAATTTTTAATCCATTTCTCTTTTAAATACATTCTAAAGTGCTATATAATCTGTAATGCAAATATGTGAGTAATCTAGAGAGGTGAGATTTTGATTTCAAATTAAAATTAATTTACAGTAATCTCATCTTAAGTTGATTAGATAGATGGAGATTATTTCCAATAACTTGATTGATAAAAGAGAAGGAAATTATCAATTGCCAATTTAGAGCGTTTTATATGCATATATTAGGTATTTTAAAATTTTTTTAAAAAATTCTCAAAAAAGAATCTTCGATTTTTAATTGCTTAAAAGTCAAATATCTATAAATAGTATATAGTTTAGTATAATTTATAATAAAGAATATATTAGTGAGGAGATTTATATATTTTATTTATATTATATTCTGCACACATACAATATACAAACATACATACACACACATACTCAAATATTTCCGTTTAGGAACAAATTTTCTATATACTATGAATTTAAGCAAATACAAAAAATTGATTTCAGAGCGATCGACGAATCTGCGACTAAAATTAAGAAAGATCATTTAGATTCTCTTAGGTCCCACTGTTCTATGTAATAAGAATAGAAGAGAATGTCTTCATATACGAACATATTCCAAGGAACTTATATTGCATTCCACTTGTGGAGCGTGCCTTGTGACCGAACTGCAATCAAGAAATTCCGCGGGACTTATTGCGGACGAGACTCTTTATTACGCGTTATTGAGGGAAATAATTTATGCGAAGGAAACGAATTTCAGAAATGATGATCGTGAGGATAATTTTTTGCTCTAATCAGCGTTACTATTTGCTTACTATTCAAGCAATCAATAAAACATGCGAACTCTTCCATATTAGATTGTATAGATTCTTACTGTTGTAGAACTCCTAAAAAATGTATTTCAAAAATTTTATTTTTAATATAGGTAATCAATGAAATTTGCGCTTTAAATATTACTGATAATTGCTTCGTCATGAAGTGCCTATGAAACGCCTACGGCGAAACAGCTGCCCTCGTTCAACAATTAAGGCTCTCAATTAAAATCAATCATAGCTCATAAAATTGTTACTCGCAGTAAACAACTTATATTTTAAATAATAGATATGGCAACTTGGATCTGAAGAGAAATTGGATCTGCTCCCTGATGTCATTGATATAAATACAAAATTTTTTATATTTCCCAACTTTTTATGGAAATTTTCAATGTAGATATATTTAAAGGAATTTATTTCTATTACGTTGCACACTCAATTAGAGATTTTAATTTAATTTTATAATCTTTTGTGTAAAAATGTTAAAATATTATTATTGAAAAATTAATACAGGAGAAACATTTCACGTTTTTGTAAGAGATAAATGTTTATAAAACGTAAGAATGAGAGTAACAAAAGATATGAAAAATTTGGATTTGATATTTATAATTTCTCTCTCTCTCTCTCTCTCTCTCTCTCTCTCTCTCTCTCTTTATTTAACTTTTGTATTATTATCAAAATTGGCTTTTTAAAATTATTATAGTAGGTATATATTATCTGAACTAATTAAGTAAAACTTTTGTCGAACGTTAAATGCATTCTTTATGCATTCTGCTGCATAGACGTAAAAATTATTGTAAATTTTAAGAAATTATTCGCTCAATTTGTGTATTTTTCAGGTATATTTCTCAGTCATGTTTAAATTGAAATAAATAGTCAATATTTCTCAGGATTTTTTATATAACTTCTATGGATCTATTCAACCATCTTTCTTATACTCTTTATATTTCAACTTTAGTCATCGCTTTGACTTCAATGTCAAGACCCTGACGCGGCCCAACGACACGACTCATGGTATAGTGGGGCGAATTAATGATGACGAGAAGATGGAGAGGAAGGGAAATGGAAATACTGACTGCCAGCTGGCGACGAGTCCATCGGCACTGTCGGTACTCGGTAGTCGGGAAAGACGAGCGATCGCGCTTGGATTGGAGTGTCGGAGCAACCAGTCCAAAGACTCATAGACCATACATATGCGTGAGGAATGTAATCCGTGCCCGATGACCCATCCGTTACCCGTGTACGACGCGCTGCAATTCAGACTGCCAAATTTCATCCAGGGTGAGTGAACTAGCGAGCGAATAATTGAATGAGTGAGTCATACAAAAGCCACGTGGGTTTCCATCACATGGCGAATTCAATGATCCCGCCAAGATGAGATATCCATGCTGAAACGCGCGAAAATAATCCTTATTGAAAATTAGAGCGGAATGTTTTTCTAGAATTATACAGGAAAAATTGAATTTAATAAATTTAAATCGATATTTCTACGATGAACAATAAACTTCTTTACTTCCTCCTCTTTCAACAGTTAAAAAAATTTCTGAAGGACGCATTATCCGTTTCTTTCGGTTTAGGATTAATTTATTAATTGATTTGACCATTTATAAGTCACTTTAATTAAAAATTTGAAAGATGGTACATTAAATAATATTCAGAATCTAAAATATAATAAAATGTACATACGCGTATAGCAAAATTTTGTTGCTATTTATTAATTCACTTTGTCAGAGTAATTTTTATTTCACGATGTTATCACTATGTTTAAGTCTTACTCATGCTGCTTTTCCGGAATTCTAATGTATTCTGGTATTTCCGTGATGTTGAAAACATTTGAATACGTAATATTTATTCGCGTGTCGATGCATATCGCTTATATGATATATTTTATGCATATATCGTGCGCGACGTTGCTCTATCTGTTGCGAAGCGAAGGCTTCGATGTCTCACCTATTTCCGTAAACTTTCTATTATCAGTAACTAAAAAAAAAGTTATTAGATGACTGCTGTTAAGTCAACGAAGATTCAATGAAATTTTTTCTATTTTCTAACGAACAAATCAATAGATATTTTTTAATATCTTACAATTAATTTGTTTTAAAATATTAAATGATTTATAAAAAAAATACAACAGTATATTTTAACATATTATATATAATACACAAATAATTTTATAAAAATGTGATTTTTACAATTGTTGATTTCGAAAGTTGATTTTATATTTTTTAATTTTAATACAAAATTACAGATATTTAAATATCGCTTTCATTCTCGCGGATAACGAAATAATAATTATTGTTCCATTAATAATTATTAGAAAAAGGCGGAATAATTAATAATATAATTAGCAGATAATTAATAATATTTAAACGTTGAATTTTTTACGAATTAAGGAAATGAATAGTTACTTTATACCAAATTCTTATTTGTTTGCACAAAATTTTATTTATTATGATATGTAAAAAGTTGTACAAAACAAAATAATTTTTTTTGCACTGGTGGAAGGAATATTTGATATATTACTGTGATAAGTGTACAGCATTTTTTCCTAATTGATTACGAGGATGTCTTTGAAACGCGAATTATTTATCGGCTAAAAATTCTGTAAAACTCGCACATTCCATAAAATTTTTATTGTGGTGGTAAATCAATTCGTAATAAGACATTTGAACATTTATACTTTATAATGATAACCGTTAATTATTGCTGTCCGACTTTATACATAATATGATATTGCTCCTTTTTTTATGGAAATTTATTTGATATTGAAATTATTTGTTGTGCGAAATATACACGATTGATTAAAAAAAATGTGTTAAACGAATATTTTATCGTATTATTTTATGAATATTTATCTGCTCTGACGCTAAGTCACCAGTACGAAACGAAGCGATAAGTGTTAACAAAACTCGATGACGCGTAAACTACTATTTGCGAAGTATTTCGCAAGTCTCAAACTGCGACGTTTTGAGAACAGAGATCTCGTCTACGATAGAATACATATATGTGGGCAGACAATTATTATTTTTAAAATTTACTTGACGCACTGTTTTTTGTTTCTGCTATATTTTTTTCACATTATCTTACACCTTTGATTTACGCTTTTGATTTGTATGATTCTAATTAAGTTAAGTCTTGTATGCGACTGGATTTTTCCAAGAAGAAGGAAAACAGCTTGTTTTACATGAACTCAATTATATCCTGCATAAACGTCGCTTATAATCCGTTGAAAGTGAAAATCGTATGTTGCGATTTTAGCGTGAAAAAATAATACAAAATTACAGATATTTAAATATCGCTTTCATTCTCGCGGATAACGAAATAATAATTATTGTTCCATTAATAATTATTAGAAAAAGGCGGAATAATTAATAATATAATTAGCAGATAATTAATAATATTTAAACGTTGAATTTTTTACGAATTAAGGAAATGAATAGTTACTTTATACCAAATTCTTATTTGTTTGCACAAAATTTTATTTATTATGATATGTAAAAAGTTGTACAAAACAAAATAATTTTTTTTGCACTGGTGGAAGGAATATTTGATATATTACTGTGATAAGTGTACAGCATTTTTTCCTAATTGATTACGAGGATGTCTTTGAAACGCGAATTATTTATCGGCTAAAAATTCTGTAAAACTCGCACATTCCATAAAATTTTTATTGTGGTGGTAAATCAATTCGTAATAAGACATTTGAACATTTATACTTTATAATGATAACCGTTAATTATTGCTGTCCGACTTTATACATAATATGATATTGCTCCTTTTTTTATGGAAATTTATTTGATATTGAAATTATTTGTTGTGCGAAATATACACGATTGATTAAAAAAAATGTGTTAAACGAATATTTTATCGTATTATTTTATGAATATTTATCTGCTCTGACGCTAAGTCACCAGTACGAAACGAAGCGATAAGTGTTAACAAAACTCGATGACGCGTAAACTACTATTTGCGAAGTATTTCGCAAGTCTCAAACTGCGACGTTTTGAGAACAGAGATCTCGTCTACGATAGAATACATATATGTGGGCAGACAATTATTATTTTTAAAATTTACTTGACGCACTGTTTTTTGTTTCTGCTATATTTTTTTCACATTATCTTACACCTTTGATTTACGCTTTTGATTTGTATGATTCTAATTAAGTTAAGTCTTGTATGCGACTGGATTTTTCCAAAAAGAAGGAAAACAGCTTGTTTTACATGAACTCAATTATATCCCGCATAAACGTCGCTTATAATCCGTTGAAAGTGAAAATCGTATGTTGCGATTTTAGCGTGAAAAAAAAGATTTTGTTATCACGTATCGAGATACGTAACGCAAACTTAGATAGGAGAGATAAACAATTATGCAATATGTCGTGTTATAGTAGTATTAGTAAAATAATTAGTAAATGTATGACAATGTTCTTTGGAGAGTCTAATCTTAAGCGATAATGAGTCAGCCTTATCCTTCATCTTCAATTTGCAAGTGAGTAATCTAACAACAATTTTTGTTATCTTTTCGATGAAGTATCCATGAATTAATCATTATCTTAATCAAATTTTCACATTTAATAATGAATACACTTATCGCAAAACGTGAAACACCAAATTGTACAAAATGTCAGTTTTACATAAAATTGACTTTTATTATTATTTCTGAGAAAGTTAAATATGTGCAAAATATGTTAATTGCATATTATTCTACTTTCCCTTATTTCCTTATTTTTATAAATTATAAATTTATGAAAAAAGCAGAAACATTCGATTTTATAGAATGTTACAATTTTCTATTATATTTTGATATATTATCGAAGAGAAAAGGCGTTTAACCATTCATGGAAAATATTGTTTAGATCGATATCTTGACACAGATACATTACATACATAGTCGATTTAGAATAAAAGTTAGGTAGAATGTACTTTAAAATAGAAATTAAATAGAAGAGAGGATAGCTAAATAAAATTCTATAAATTGTATTGTTGCAGGGACAAGAAGGAAAGTGCAGCTACGGACAATTTTTGAAGAAGCGCCATAGAAAGCCTGTGGTGGATTAGGCGTCGGTAATCGATGGGTTGAGAACGCTCTTTGCTATTTTTTTCTTTTTGTTATCAAGGTGTGTAGCTTACCTATGAGCCATGCTGAAGGTGGTCGGAGCCTCGTGGCTGCAGACGCGCATCTCCACTTATATTCTCGTCGCTGTCGCTCTTCTTGGCATTGGCACCATTATCCTCGGTGAATTCGGACTGTTAGTTGACACTAATTTTTTTTAGTTTTTTTAACAATTAGATAGTCAAATCTTTTAAGAATAAGTTGTTCAACATGTGTTTTCGCTGTCGAACAAACACAAAATATAACATAATGTGCGCTGCATTGACTAAGAATTGCACTTTTACAAAATTTAGAGAATATTAATAAAAGTTCGATTAATAAAGTAAATTTTTCTAAGCAGTAATGCTTTTACAGTGTTGAGAAAGATGGAACTTATTCGGCTACCGTGTCGTGGAATCACAAGGGAGGATATCGTATCGACTTTTGGGGTCAAGGTAACGATCTCGCCGATGTACGATTGAATGCTGCCCGTGCCTATTACAAGACTGGCATATTCGAATCTGGGTAGGTCAATGTCATTGAGCAGAAGAAATATATAGTCATGTTCTTGTAAAGATTCTATATATTTTAAAGAGCACAAAATTTTGAAACAGATTATTTTCTATCCTCTATTTAAAATTTATTTGGAGAGAATCGCAATATAATTTTAATTTATTTTACATAATTAATACTTAATATATGTATATGTTTTTTAATAAGTCTAAATTTTGTGATTGAAAAATGATTAGATATATATTTAGATCGATAACTGATATGTAACAGTTCTTTTCCTGGATGGTTCTATATATATGTATAATCTTGTATATAAATTAAAATCCGTAGAAACTATACATCCGCTACATATTTACAAATCAGAATATTCTGCAGATTTTTCATATGATGTGTAATTAAAATAAACACAGCGGATATATTCCAGATGGTCCATCATCGAAATAGAAACGTCATCGAAGTATCCGGACACCGTGCAGGCTTATGCGGCCGGTTTGTTAGAGGGTAGTCTGACATGGCAAATAATCCATCATCATTGGCATAATACCGTCAACGTTGTTTGTGAGAAATGGGCATACGAATGCCAGAAATTGATGCGATTCCTTCATGAGAACACCGTTATTGTCCGCGAGCGTGCCGAGCGCTTGGCACCCACGGATCCATTCTGGCATATGGTAAATAGGAATTAAATTTAAAGATTAAAATGTGAAATATTCGTTAAATCCAATAAAATGTTTGATACATATAGATATTTTTCTTTGTGCTAAAGATTTTGAATATGTATTTACTTTTATTGCTTTTAAATAAAAAAGAAACCCAATCAGTAATTGCACATACCTATCTTTAATATCGCATAGTGTTGTTATAAAACAGAATATTTTAAATCCGAAATTCTGTGATTTCACGCAAGGATATGTTGTAAATCGTCATTATTTTTACATCATAGGTGAAGCTGTTTTATATTCAATTGGATGGTCTAGAGGCTGGCTGGAAATTCGCGGTTCGTCGTAGTCGGCAGTCAGTGGAAATGAACAAGGAACACTTCCTCTGGCTGGCAATGGCTGCAGATCTACCGGATCTCGAACGAACGCTGAACAATTCCGAATTCTATCGCGATTACATCAAAGGCATGATTTTCTTGAAAAGCCTATCACGTGAAGGATCAGATCCGTTGGTAGCTATTGGACATACTACTGCTGCACCGTAAGTTATCATTACCCCGTATATATAACATATGTATATAATATATGTATATACTATCAGTAAAAAATATGGCTATCTGAAAAAAATCAAAGTAGTTAAAAAAGAAATTAATTTTAAATATAATTAAAGTAATTGACAAAGAATTTCATTTAAAACACAAAAATACTTATGTAAAAATTGTTTTTATGTAAAAATATAATTTATTACTTTTTGCATTTTTTCGCTGCAAGGAAGATCGAATGTAGGTATTGTAAAAAAAACTTAAATAAAAACGCTTTTTTATTACAGTACATTATATCGAGCATAAGTTTCACATTTTTTTACAGATATGCTAAAATGCTAAGATTATTGAAGAAATATACTTTTGGTTATCATATTCTGCCAAGTTTAAAAACCTTTGCGCCAATGCCAAGCAGATCTATTATAATGTCATCTTACCCTGGTGCTCTGTCATCTCACGATGAATTCTATTGGATTCAAGGAGGGAATCACGAGATTATTATCGTTGGAACGCCAATGACAGACACTAACACCAGTCTGTGGAATTTTATGAGAACAAAGAATCAGGTAAACAAATCTTTTTACATTTTGCTTTCTATAATTTTAACTAATTGCAAATATACATGAACGTCAAAAGATATTTATATAAAACAATTTACGATATGATAAGATATGAAATAATATAAATTTTGAATCAATTTCTATTGTTTATTATTATCTTGGAACATAGTTGTACTAAAAGTCAGTGAGTTAATTTCCTTCTTCTACAGGTAATGTCATCCGTAAGAGTGATGGCGGCGAATCGTCTGGCAACAAATGGACGTTCCTGGTCTCGTAACATGTCGTTGCAAAATGGTGCTGATACAGCACGACAATGGGTCATTTTGGAACTGCGTGACAGCGTTGTTTGGCTTATTGAACAATTACCGGGGCTTATTCGCACGACAGATGTCAGCAAGCAGTTCGTCGGCACTGACGTGCTTTGGGCTATAGGTGAAGTTCATCATCCCGAGATCAACATGATAATTAGCGAAAATGAAGAAGAAGACGATGATATGACAAAAAGCGAGCTAGTCGCGAGATTACAGAGCAACATCACTACGATAGAACACTTTAAGAGGTTGATGCGAGGATACAGTCACGAGATATCTACCAATAAAAACGAAGATCCGGTACAGATTTTAACTAATAGAGGAGACCTGGAGAAAGTTAATTTACCATTCGGTATAATCGACATGAAAATCATCCTGGCCGACGTTGATGGTGTGAAGAGTTTTGAGGTCACTTCCGGACCGAGTACGTTGGACTCCACGCAGCCCTTCCGATGGTCGACCACTTTCCCCAACGTCTCGCACATAGGTCAGCCCGATGTTTTTAATTTCGATAGCTTTACTCCTCTATGGGTTTGGCTCTAAATCGAGATCATTTAAATATATAAAAATAATAATATTAGTAATGACGAAAAGGTAACTCTTTTTAAATTTTTATTAGAAATAAAATAATGAGCAATAAATTACAATTAAATCAGTTTGAAATAATAAATGATAAAATATTAAAAAATTTTGATTAACTTAACAGATTGTCAAATAAATTTCGAAGAACCGAAAAGAAATTCTTTAATTAATATTTAACCAATTATAAAACGTTGCTTTTCAGTTTTCGATATTTTTACTAAAACTGGCCTAAATTTGTAATTTGAAGAAACAGCAAGCTCATATGTTAGCCACCTACCGTGTCTTTAGAAAATAAAATAAAATAAATTTCAGTTATAGCTTACATTTATTTCTATTCCTTTGACCATTTCCTTTCTTATTATTTTAAATATAGTAAGAGTAGTATTTACTATTTAACTATATTAATAGCTTAAGGTTAATTATTATTAGCATCTTTTATTAAATTGATTACACACAATGTAATTTGTTGATCTTATTTTTAGTTTCAGTTTATGATTGCATTTCTAATCCGATAAACTAAATCGGCGCGCAGTTTATAAGACTGAAAAATATATTTGCAAATTGTATATTATCAAGCATCATGATCCGTTTGGTTGAAAGTAAAAACCTTTCTTTTATTTGATTTATTCTTATCAAACTAAATTTCATTTATAAAAATAACTAATAACAATAATTATTATTAGTTACTTTATTTTTATAAAATAGGTAGGTACTTTTTCTCTTATACATTTTATATATTGTATGTATTTTTTACGAATATGTCTTTATGTTTTCTCCTTTATTGTTCAGAAAATAAACATATTTATAATTTAATTCTTCATTTTTTCATTTAATTAATTTATATTATTTTGTTAATTCTATTATTAATTAATTAAGGTATTAATATTTTTGAAGCTCATATCGCATAGGTTTATTTTGTATAATAGAATTTTGTAAGATAATACACAAATCATATATATTTTTTAATGTAATATAGACATATTTTTTATATTATTTCAATAAAACAAAAATATTTATATTATCGGGTAATTACATAATATTTTATATATAAAAAATAGCTTATATAAGTATAATATATGAGGCATTCCACGTCAAACCGGGCACTTTTCGACAAAAAAAAAATCGAAGATTCCAATTCTTGTGAAATTTTACAGACGTATTCTACACATTAAAAAAATGAGACACATGTTTAGAAAAAAAATTAAAGAAACGTTTTCACGAAGTTATGCTTACCTTTAAGTTTCAAGAATTGACGAAAAACGTGGCTCGTGTGTATATTCAAATGATTATACCGCCGAAATGGTAAGTCGTACGAAAAAAAATGGAAGAGATTAGTTTTAAAGATTATAAGTTGTTCTATTTTTTGATCATTTTTAAATATATACATTTGTTTTCAATAAATATTTTTTTTATTGTTTATAATTTTTAAATTTTTTGTTATCAACTCACCAACTTAAAGTTCCTGATAAAAATTCATCATATTCGCTCTTCAATTCTGAAATAATCCTGAAAGTTTCAAAATGGAACTCAAATGGATATTGTATAAGATAATAAATTCTTTAAGATACCGCGTGGCATACTAACGCGCAACGCACGAAGCATCTGCCGCCGCCGTTCCAGAGCCCGTGCGTTGGAATACCGCTGTGCCGCACGGTTGATCTTAAAGAATTTATTATCTATACAATCCATTCGAGTTCCATTTTAAATTTTTCAGGATTATTTCAGAATTCGAGAGCGAATATGATGAATTCTTATCAGGAACTGCAAGTGGTCAGTTGATAACCAAAAATGCATTTAAAAATTCAAAACAAATGTATATTTAAAAATTTCCAAAAAATAGAACAACTTATAATCTTTAAAACTGATCTGTTGTATTTTTTTGTACGATTTATTACCATTTCGGCGATATAATCATTTGAATATACACATAAGCCACGTTTTTCGTCAATTCTTGAAACTTAAAGGTAAGCATAACTTCGTGACAACTTTTTAAATTTTTTTTCTCAAACACGTGTTTTATTTTTTTATGTGTAGAACGTATGTGAAAATTTTCAAAAAAATTAAAAATGTTGATTTTTTTGGTACCCGATTTGACGTGGAATTTTTGGTATGCAACAATTGTCTGTTATTGCAATATTACAATTTTGCAACTTTCATTTTCAAGACTACTTTATTTTTATGACAGTATTTTCCTCTTACTTTATGCATATACTAACTTACTATTTGTCTCTGTGCTTATAATTATGAAATGCGGTTGCAATATTGCAGCTGTGCAATACACTACTGAAAGAGGTGCTGCTAGTTTGACAGTATTAACAAATATATATGAATGAATGAATATAGTTCATATATTAATATCACATTTGAACGAAAATGTACATATTACACAGTACATGTGATGTATAAAGATTAAACTTACATCACAAATGAACTCCATTATTTTATAATACCTATAACACTTTACATTCGTTCACAAGAAGTCTAACAGTCAATTTCTCCATCACTAGAAAACTTTAGAGATTCCATAAGATATATTTCAAATACCTCACGATTAAAGAGTTACCGTAATATGTTTAGATGTAACAATATGGGCTATGCACAGTAAATATTTATAAAACGAAAAAAGGTTCATATGATGTTTAATGCTAACTAAATAAATGTTTCATTTCAACACATCCACGAGTCTCTTGCAAGATGAAAAGGAAATTTGCCATTGCTCTAAAAACCCGTAATCTTGTGGTGAGTGTAATAGTGGGTTTAATAAGCTGTAACTTGAATTAGTAGAATTAGATAGATGTAGTTTTCAAGTAAAGCGCGCAGAAAATGAATCGGATAATGCAAAACATTCATATAAAAGCAACTGTCATGTTGCATCGCTAGCATACGCGAAATGCTTATGCTACCATCAAAATGGGTAAGCTATTTTAACATTATTTCTTTGTTTTTATTTCGGCAATATAACGAATCCTTATAATTTTTAGGTAATATATATCTTGTTGGTGATCAATTGCGCTGGCGCACGCTGGTCGCGTGTCAGTCGTCAAGCAGGATATTCTTATCAGCGACCCAACGTACCGTTCTCGTTACCAACGGAAAGAGGTAGTCAACAAGGATATCCGAGTTCCCAACCTAGTTATTCTTATCCTGCACCACCTCCCCCTCCGCCGCCACCTCCACCTCCTCCTCCGCCGCCACCGCCTCCTCCACCACCACCACCTCCTCCTCCTCCTCCACCAAGGTATATACCACCGCCGGCACCACCTCCGCCTCCGCCGCCACCGCCTCCTCCTCCTCCCCCCCCTCCTCCGCCGCCACCGCCTCCTCCTCCTCCCCCCCCTCCTCCGCCGCCACCGCCTCCTCCTCCTCCCCCCCCTCCTCCGCCGCCACCGCCTCCTCCTCCTCCCCCCCCTCCTCCGCCGCCACCGCCTCCTCCTCCTCCCCCCCCTCCTCCGCCGCCACCGCCTCCTCCTCCTCCCCCCCCTCCTCCGCCGCCACCGCCTCCTCCTCCTCCCCCCCCTCCTCCGCCGCCACCGCCTCCTCCTCCTCCCCCCCCTCCTCCGCCGCCACCGCCTCCTCCTCCTCCCCCCCCTCCTCCGCCGCCACCGCCTCCTCCTCCTCCCCCCCCTCCTCCGCCGCCACCGCCTCCTCCTCCTCCCCCCCCTCCTCCGCCGCCACCGCCTCCTCCTCCTCCCCCCCCTCCTCCGCCGCCACCGCCTCCTCCTCCTCCCCCCCCTCCTCCGCCGCCACCGCCTCCTCCTCCTCCCCCCCCTCCTCCGCCGCCACCGCCTCCTCCTCCTCCCCCCCCTCCTCCGCCGCCACCGCCTCCTCCTCCTCCCCCCCCTCCTCCGCCGCCACCGCCTCCTCCTCCTCCACCAAGGTATATACCACCGCCGCCGCCACCGCCGCCGCCACCTCCTTCTCCACCAGGATATCCAAGCACTCAACCTAGTTATTCCTACCCTGCACCGCCACCACCTCCTCCGCCACCACCACCTCCTCCTCCGCCACCACCACCTCCTCCTTCCCCACCAGGATATCCAAGCACTCAACCTAGTTATTCTTATCCTTCACCTCCACCTCCGTCACCACCAGGATATCCAAGTACTGAACCAAGTTATTCTTACCCTACACCACCACCACCACCACCACCAACCTCCTCCAAAATATATACCACCTCCTCCGCCGCCACCACCTCCGCCTCCTCCGCCACCACCACCATCTCGTCCTCCGCCACCTCCTCCTACACGTCGCACTTACCTACCTCCACCTCGGCCGCAACCACGACCTACACGTCCGCCTCCTACATATCTACCTCCTATTAATCAACCGTCTGTATCAACACCCGCGCCTACGTATTTACCACCTTATGGACAACAGGGAATCGCATCAACTGCAGGTGCTTCTTCATTTGTCCCTAGTCCTTCAGGTGGTATAATAAAGTTGAGCGGACCAGCTGAGGGTTCAAGTTTTGCGACCAGTCCTTCAGGTGATTTTTCAAACTTCCCAATAACGGGTGATGTTATAAAGTTGAGTGGACCAGCTGGGGGCTCAAGTTTTGCGACTGCCTCAAGTTCAGCTAGCGCTAGTGCGTCGAGCGGAACATTTATTGGACAACAAAACTATCCGAGCCAATCTGTCTCCATTCCTGCTACACCAAACTATAGTACTGCAGGCCCGACTATAAGCCTTTCTACATCAGGATATCCCTCTGTAACACCAGGATATCCCTCGGCAACACCAGGATATCGTTAACTCTATCACTGGCAAGAGTTACTCTTCAAAATTATCTAGTATTTATTCCTCCATCCATCTATTTAATTTATTTGGATGTTTAAGTTATTTTTATGCGAAATTGTACTTTTACATAAGCAAGTAATATGAGAAGTATATGTCAGTATTAATAATACGAAGAGTATAGGACTACCATTTGACCATCGTGATATCTATTACAATTAGATTAGCAATAAGTTATGCTCATGAAATTTGAGAAACTTATGATCAACCGAGATAAATATATTTTTACATTATTCAAAATAAAAATCAGAAATTTTCATGATGTTGTATTTTTTATATATATTTCATCAAAATTGATAATGAATTCTATTCTTTATTTTTGAAACGAAATAAATAAATATTTAGAGGATGAACTAAAATGTTAAAAGTGTATAGTGAAAACGCATAAATCTTACAACAATTTAATCTCTGTATTCGATGGATTCACAACATTGATAAAGTAACTTAATAGTTTAATATAATATAATGGAAAATCTTAATATATTTAATATATTTAAGTCGAAAGAAAAAACCTTATATAAAACAAATTACTTATATTTTAATATATCTTTACAATTGACAAAACATTAGTGATAGAGTCATAATAAATATATTTAAGCACAATATTCCTTTTTCATTGTAGCAAAAGTAAGTCAGTGATTTAATTAAAAAAACTTTTTCACATTTTAACAATAAGTCGACTGAGAATACTTATAAGAATTTAACTCACGTTTAAATATTATAATATTTGAATTAAATATTATTTGCATGTTATAACGTATAAAATTTGTTTTTTTTTTTTATAAAAATTAGGTCATCTCAAAATCACTTGTCATACGTAAAACGAATAACACTTCATCTGCAACGGTTTAATAAACATCAGAGACATCTTTAAGTCCATCACAGTTTTCTATAAATATCTAATAAGCGAGAACGATTAATCATTTTAAATATATCTCACAGTTATTCACGAATCATCCCGCGTTTCACTATGCAAGGAAGATATTCGGATGAATTTCATTTCTTACTGTAATCGATCTATTAGGAATGTGTGTGTGTGTGTGTGTGTGGTAGGCGATTTCTTATTCAGTAAAAAGCTACAAATCAACGTATGATTAGACTATGAGATGCGACACATCGGCAGTGTAGGCGGCGGGCGACAACCGGATGTCGTCGGCGCGGGAGATTGGTCGTTGTCTTAGGTCGCTGTCACCAGGCCAGGCGCGACCTGGACTGCGCGAGCCCACATTCGCCCTGGCGACTGTGTCGACCGCTAAGCTCACCGTCGCGGGATCATTCAAACCGTTGCTCTGAATCCTTCGCTGCGTGACTATCGATGCCCGCAAAGTTTTCCGTTTCTGCGTACGAAACAATAGAATGCAATAATTGACGACATAGGTGCATGAAATTATACGATCTAAAAGTCCTAAAGTCTCATGAAGATATAAGGATTAAATGTCTCAAAAGTAGATTTTAATAAGAATTTTTTGTTAGAGATAATTTTAAAAAATTTCTTAATTAGTAATTTCAAAAATAATGCTTTTACAAGTAAAGTTTTACTGCAATCGGAATAACTTTTAATTATTTTGATTAATTTTTGATGTAATTTGATTAAATCGATCTTGTCGACTTCTTTAAATTGATTAAATTGAATTACCTCGATCATTCCTCGCCACTTGTCGGCTGCGTGTCTTGCTAGTTCCATCTTCCTTTGTTTACGTATTTGGTGCTTTTTGTATGCCATTTCAATTATAATTAGAGCGACTCCGCCGCCGATACCGACGCCGACGACGATGAATACTCCTGCCATGTTCTCCAGGCCGAGAGTGTTTGGCATTTTTTCAAATTGCTCGCATTGTTGCACATTGCCATGCAAGATCCAAAGATTATCGAGGCTCTCCATGAAACCACCTGCAAAAGAATCATGATTAGAAGAAAGTCGCTGAATAGAAAATTGGAATTTCACGAGCATAAAATGCTTTACGTTAATTGAGATTTGTTGTATACTTACTTTCATGGAAGTCTAAGATCGCCAATGTTACAGCATCCGCCCAAGGCGATCCTTTTTGCAAACCAATTCCGTAACCTGAACGGCCAAATAGTTCACCAGCCGTTACTAATTCACAATCTTGAGCCGCTTCAAATTCTAGTCGCGAACTATCCCAAATGAAGGCCATTAATTTCCTGAAAAGAAGAAGAGTGATGTGATAATGTAATTACGTTGACGTGCAAAATATATTAAATCACGACACGGTTATTAATGTTGTTAGAGGTATTTAAACATCGGTTAAATAGTTACTTAATGGAATGTATGTTAGATTGTGCTTCAATTGTTTTAAGCAACATATTACAAGATCGAAGATATTGAAAGTATAATGAGATTTCAGAAATAAATTTAATATGTATTTAATGATTCTCTCTCTCTCTCTCTCTCTCTCTCTCTCTCTCTCTCTCTCTCTCTCTCTCTCTCTTTCAATAATCTAAATTTCAACTTGAGCAAAGAATTAATGGTCTCAAAAATTGAAATGCTTACCCAATTTTAATATCGCGAATCGCGTCTTCGGCAGTGTCATAGTTATTTGCCTCCATTGTACGATACATATTAGACAATTCTACTTGGCGTCTGAAGTACATGTCCACGGAGGATCCCTTTACCGTCGCACACGTCAAATTCTCCATTGTATTTCTGAGCTTTATAAATAAATTGTTGCAAGTTTTTATATCGGATCGCATACCAGATATATTGATTCTCTCTCTCTCTCTCTCTCTCTCTCTCTCTCTATCTCTCTCTCTCTCTCTCTCTCTCTCTCGGTAAGGAACATAATTAATTTAATATATCCTTACTCGAGCATCGTTGATGCCGGTGAGTTTAGTTTTTGGTCGTTCCAAAACGAGGAACGCCGCCAAATTAGCGGTGTACGATGCGACGATGATCATAGCGAACCCGGCCCACACCATTCCCAGCACACGAGCGGAAAAACTCCGTGGAGTACCTACAGAATTTAAATGACAATAAAGAATTTGATTAACAATTGAACAGCCACGTAGAAAACGATCTAAGTAAGTATTAAGAACACTAGTTAAAAGATTTGAACTTTAATTTGTAATTTTTTTTTTCCTCCAAGTGAGACATTTGATTGTAAAATAAATGAAAAAGGGATGAAAAAGTAATACCTTACCCTCTCCTATACCGCTATTCAATAATACACCCCAAGCAAACCAGATAGCACTGGATAGATTGAGAGCATCTTCCTCGGTGCCGTCGGTGTTGGCTAATTTGAATCTGCCGAAGGGTGAAAATCGATCGAGCAGATACAAAACCAACGCCACTACGTGCACCGATACCATTACCAGGATCCAAAGGGTATTGCTGAACGGTTGTAAGAAAGAGACTAGAGTGGAAGATCTAGAAGGCTAAACTCAGAAAAAAAATATATATATATCTATTTTTATATAAAAAATATGTTTTTACTTTATAAAAAAGTAAGGAAAATACCTTCTTCTCAAGGATAGTGATGCCTTGATACTTGAACGGCTTACTGAATTCGATAAACTCGGCACGTTCTGGATTAATCGTTAATGGTGCGACGATCATGTCCGCTCGTTCGTTAACTATCTCGCCAATAAGACCTGTCCATTCTTTTTTTCCTCCGACTTTTGATGTATCAATACATAACAAAAGAACAAGAAAAAACAAAGTAGAAATTCAAATTATTAATCCCTTGGTGCCTATAAAAACGAATTTAGAAACTAGATAATAAGATAGAATTTATTTGGATTATCTTTGGAATAAACACTTATTCTTTCTTTAAAAATTTAATATTTTATATTTGTATAAAATTGGACTTGGTGGCGTGCAAGTGAGTGCATGTATGTTGTAAGCATTAGTGTTTAATTAACGTAATTTAAATAGATTCAGAGCGTTTGAAGCGTTGAGAAACAGAGAAAGTAAAGGCAATAGTAGAGGTGTAAGATAAGGTGTCAAAAGAAGTTTTAGACTTGGCGACTTGGCGTTGCTCGTGTAGATTATGACGTCCAGGGACGCGGATATGTCAGATTCTGGCGGGAAGATAAGAAGACCGCCGAACTAAGACATTAGACAGAGTAAGTTGGTTGTAGAAGATAAGGAAGAAGGGAGATATTCGAAGACAATGGGAGGATGCCAGAATTAGAGAAACGAGATATAATAAAAAATATAAAGGGATAGTAGCTGAAGGAAGAAGGCCTATATATGTATTTCACGAAAGAGAATTTTCAGGAGATGGGGAGAAGAGATAAGATTATAATGCTCATTTCCACCAATGTGTGCAGATTAACTTTAATCTCGGTTCAATTTCCTCTTTGTCTTTTTCTAGTTATAAAAATTAGAAAAAGATAAACAGTATGTTAAACCGAGATTAAAGTTAATCTTTATTGGTGGAAATTAAAGTAAATGGGTTATAAATGGATTAAGACTTTTTATGTAAAACCAAATCTCCTTCTTGGCTGCAGTAAAGTTGAAGTGTAATAAAATCTTCTTCTATTTGTATAAAATTCTATAATTCTCTTATCTTTACCCGAAGTGTTCTTGATTACGTAGCTGCCAAACTGACCATCTGGCGACAGAGCTAAACTGTATGTGAAGTTTATCGTTTTTGACAACTCCTTTAGTAAATCCACGCAATATCCTTTACAGCAAAACATTTGTTTATCTGTTGGAAAGAAAAAAATAATATATATAATATTCTATTATATTTTCTAACTGTAGTAAGTAATTTTGAATACTATGGATCTGATTATTGTTATGACAAGATCAGTTACTGTTTCTATCGAATCTAAGAAGATGAGAAACGCCACAGTAAATAGAGCACCACAACAACTTAAGTTTAATTCATACCAATTCGTCACTTTTGTGTCAGTGACGTTTTTCAACGCACCTTCTGTTATGTTGAAGTGCGGACATGCGATCTCATCAGGGAGACACTTGACCTCATTGTCGG